AAAGAACCAGAAGTATCTATTCCCAAAAAATCTAGGATCTATTTTCCCAAACCAATCTGTCAATTTAGTTTCCTGGAGAAGCAAGAGATTAGGCATTTCCTTTCTTCAAAAAGAAAGAACATCTCTCTTGCATTGAATACTATTGAGGCCCCTGACATTCCAACATAATACTTTCATACAAACTGGTAACCTTCTCTATGCTTGGTGATCATAGAAGGACCAGCAAATATAGGTAGCAAAACTTAAGAATGAGCACGAGAACGAGCACTTACCTCATTGTGATCATAGTTAATATGGCATACCAAATCATCAAGTTCTCTTTGAAGCCTTCCTTTCTTTTTGGATTTCTGAATTTTTCTCCTGATAAGCCTTCTCCTATTTTAGGGTATCTGTAATGGTGTCAAGAGAGTCACCATAACACACATTAATTGGATCCAAAACTGTACCAACTTCCAAAGGTCGATCACTAAGAACATGCCATCATTGACATTGTCATAGTCATCATATCCCTTAAAATTATCTACTACAGGAACTTCATCATCAGCATTATCACTCGGTGGTCTTATAGCAATAGGACGCATTATAAGAGGTTCTTCCAGCTCGTGTTCTTTGAGGCTTCAACTACTGTTATCAAGAACAGCACTTTCAAGATTTTACCAAAGTTTATCACTATAAGTAGAAAGAGCATATCTTCCTTCCATATCTTCTTCCTCACTCTCGGCATTATAAACCCACATTGAATTTTCAACAAACTTCCCATTCTTTTGCCCTTTAACTTCTTAGAAGCAATCATCCCAAATAGACTCATCTGCTGCATCTTTTTTTTTCAGATTTCCTCTCTTTACTTGCATCAGAGAAATAACCAGCTTGAAACTCAACAATGATGTTTTTTTGGGTTACTTATGGGATGATAGCTTCTTTTTTAAGCTACAGAATTTTTTTATCTTTGATGGACGTTTGTAGAAAGGAATTAATTGGCCTATCATCCAAACATCCAGAAGAAAACTTTCCAAAAGTTTCAAACCGGTTATGGCAGGGAATATCATTGTTTTCCAAAACAAAAGATTTTGACTAAGAATTTCCATAACAGATTTTTTTGAAATGTTTCCATCAAATTTAACAACCCATTTTTTAATGATATGTTTCCCTTTGAGAGGTAACGTGGCAGCGTAAGAATGGCTTGAACTTGCCCTCCCACGAAATTTTCGACAATGATATCGGTTGTCAAATTTTTAAACTCCATTGTTGCAGCTTGGGACCGACATTAATGGCTTCTGGGAACTGTCAACCTTATAGACATTTTGCTCACCATTCAAGCTATGTTTCATCTCTTCAGAAGAGACTTCAACGAAACCTCCCTTCTAAATTTGAATCTCTTTAAATACAAGTTTAAAATCAAAGCCTCCCATCTTTAGGATACCCTATTTAGGATGATTTATATTTTTAGTTTCTACCACGAAAACAAGCACATGATAGGTGGTTAAATTCCAATTAATCTTGATGAGCTGACCACATAGATTTGCTATCTCTTTAAAGATTTCAGAGGACCAAGCAATGATTGGAATACCATAAATCGCAATCCATGACGATTTTAGTTTGATCAGAGAGGCTTTTAAGGAGGGGACCCATCTTTCTGCTACCAAATCACCCCCCGGAAGCGCCAAAATCTCATATCGATTACTTTAATAGCTTCCTCACAATAACCCAAAAAACAAATAAATTTACCTCTTAGGGTCGAGCGACAAAAGCTCGGAGTCTTAGTCCAAGTCCCATCAACCCATTCCTGGAACATTTGTATGTCAAAAAATCTGTTCCTGACAGTCATGATCACTACTGACTAAATTCTCTTTTCTTGTTCTTTAATGATATCATCTCAAACCAAAATAGTGGGGTTCCTATGGAGATCAGAACTTGAAATAGAACATAAAGCCGCAACATAGGAAACACTGCCTTTCTTCACCTTCTTCTCAAAATGCATATTTTTTAACTCTTCATCATTCTACCAACCAATTGCCATCATCACCACACCACCACTTCCTAGCCACGACAACTGTATCACCCATTTGTCCTCTCTGTGTCACCCACCTTCACCACACCATAGACTAGAATCATCTATCAAAATATTTCTCTTTAGAATTCTGCAAGGAACTCTCTATGTGAAAACCTTCTTCAAAACCACGAAACTCTATGAAGCAAAGCAATTGAAGGAACAGGAGAAGTTCCTGCTTTCACTCTCTACAAATCACGATTGTATTTGATACCCAATACTCCAAATCCCTTCACAGTTCATAGAATAAACCACATACATAGAGAGAGAAAATGCACAAGGAATGAAATGAAAACACCTCGATTAACTGCAAAAAAAAAGGGTGTTTCAGAGCAACTTCTCCTCGCCCTTCACCATTGCTGCCTCTGCGTGAAAACCCTAACACCTCTGCGTATAAAGGACCAGAAACGACCCCTTCATCCAGAGTCTCAGCCGCGAAGAAACCCCCTTCTCACTCTAAACCTTAGAAATTTTCAAAGCTTAAAACACGTCTACCATGAATGGAAGTTCAGCGATCAAGCAAAAGAGCCGCCCTATGCCTTGCTGATCAGTGCAGAGAGAATAAAGTGGGGAAGAATCTTCGATGCCCCAAAAACTCTCCTCTTCTACCTTCCAAAAACAGCACCACCTTGCTATTGTCACGACACTTCTTTCGCCATAAATATGGAGCAGTGCGCCACCGAACAGCCAGGCTCCTCTCTCTCTCTCTCTCATTGACTATCAAGTTGGGCAGGCCGTCACCAATTTGTGTAGGCATTCACCCGTTCTCCTTGGCCTGTCTATTTTCCCGTTAGGGGAGAGATGGATTGCGAAAGGGAAAAAGTTATCGCAAGAGTGTGAGAGCCAGAGCTGGATTTAGAGAAAGAGAGGAACATTGAAGCATCTACGTCGGGAAAATTTTATTGAACCATCTCATTTCTCTCTATGAAAGATTTTAGAGAAAAACATTGTCAACTATTAACTTTCTCGCTCCATGCTCTACTGCATCTCACAAAAAAAGAATCTTTAAGCTCCGATTTAAATATGAGCTGATCCTATAGGACCCTTCTCCACCCATGTGTATAAAACCCCAAAGAATCACCAATAAATTTAATACAGATCTCTAAAAAAGTCAAACCCTACACCCATGTGATATCTTTTTTAAAGATCCATATCAAATTTAATGATGATCCTTTAAGATCCTATACACATGCGTGGGGGAAGATCCTATAAGATCCTTACTCTTTAAATATTCTCCTTGTGGCTGCTTCATCTACTAGCTGCAGCCATGAATTCTACACGCTCTACTACGCGTGCGTTTTTTCTTATTAAGCATCCATACCATTGCTTACAAAATAAACAGTAACACATTTGTAGCCATGTCACAATAGCACAAACTACCTTCTAAAAGTACATAAAAGGCAGCCATAAAACCCCATCCTTCTTTAATTGATTCATATTGCCGTGTCACATTAAACTATTTCAATATAAGTGCCTATTAGGCAGGTTTTCTTTTCCAGGAACGGTAGATCGTAGGTTGCGTCATGAAAATTAGGCAAGATTTGTTATAAGGGTTTTGGAATGGGTTCCATGGTGTTTTCTTTTTGCCAAATAATTTAGTGAGAAAAAAATCATTTAGCCATAGAATAAAATTCAAAGACATCACATTGCACCACTTAACTTTGAGTCCATTCCCAGTTCAAGATGGGTGTTGGAGATAGACTCGGAGCCCTCAAATACACAAAAATGATAATTTACTTGCAGCTAAAGATGGGTTTTTCAAAGAGGAATTCCAACAAAGAAGAACAGAAAGCCCGCGGTTTTTAGAACGGAAGCATGTTTGTATGCACTTGTAGCAACAAAAAACTTCACTGAAAACAATAAGATGAATTTTAAAGGAAACTTTAGAGAAATTTCAGTTTTTCGACCATCATGATTTCTGGAGATAGACTTATGTCAACGTATTGTAGATAGAGCAGGGGGACGCTATAGTTCAGGGGCGAAGAAAGACATTTATAGAGGCTAGGGCAGAGAGGAAAAATTTTGCCATCTTGCCCCGCTTCTTGCGATCTCTTGCTGTATTCCCCATTGACTAACTAGGGACAGTTACAATAACTTGGAAATTCTGGAATTTCCCCAGTTTTCCATGTCAAATTTGGCCTCAAAATACGCATCCATCATTGTCATCATGTAAATAGGGCCCTTCCATTTTATCTGGTTCAATCACCTCCATCCAAAAAGACCAACACATGCATGTCTTAAAATCTGTCATGAAAAAGTACTCTTGTGCTCTCCAAGAACACAAGTGGGAAATTGTGAGATACCATTTTCACTTTTTTTTAGTAGTTCAGCAGGCAGGATTTAAACCAGGCACGTTGTGTTCCAATTGTCAATGCCTTAACTAATCAAGTCGAAGCCCAAATCAAGAACCACAACTAATTTTACAGAAAAAGCAAGAGAGAGAGAGAGAGAGAGAGAGAGAGAGAGAGAGAGATTACAAATAGAAATTAACAG